TTTTATGCTTTGCGCCGAGGTGTAGGCAACATATTTTACTAGTTGTTTACATGCCATAAATTGGTGTTTAGACTTCGGGATTCCGATATAGAAACATTTAATTGTTCATAGAAAGCATATACCAAGCTGTATTAACAACTGCAAATTTATATTTGAAAAATCCCGACACTTCGGGACTAAAACTTTTATCCGAATATAAAAGTTTTCGGTATTCAATAAGTTTTTTGAAATGATATGATATAATAATAAAAAGAATATACCAAACTGTACTAAGAACCGTATGTTGATATATGAAAAATCACGAAATTTCGGGACTAAGAATATGTCATGATGGAAAAGATTTCAGGAATAAGTAAATCAAAAAATATGCCAACAGGGAGGTTAAGATAAAATGCATAAACAACCTTAACTTGATATTTGAAAAATCCCGAAACTTCCGGACTAGGTGTTTTTCGGCATTTTACCAATTTTTTGATAAAAAGATTTAAATATCCAAAATTTCGAATTATATTGGTCAACCCCTTACTAAAAACTTTTTAAATCTGATTTTGGAAAAATCGGGTTTTATATGAAAATTGTAATGGAAACCTTAGAAATAAAAAATTTACTTTGTTCGAGATGCATATCTGAAGTTGCTACGGTACTTGGCACTGACTTTTTTAATTTGCATCAGACTTTTTCAAGGACTTATCTTTAAGCAAGTTTTGACCAATTTTAAAAAAAGAACCCAAGAATAAACTATGACAGAGGGATTCTTAAGTAAGTTGAAGTGAATTTCGGAAGCCATGGGCGCTATCACCTTGAAAAAAGCACTACAATATGGCGAGAGGTTGAACCCAATAAATCGGAGAAGATTCAGTAAAAACGGTAACAAAATGACGCTTTTCTGAAGCTGTTATTATAATTATTGCTTATCTAGAGAAGAAAAAGTTTTGAATTTGTACAAATGCTTTAAAAACCTACCTCAGTGGCAAACTCTTACCTCATATCGTAAACAGGATTCCAGCTTTATATGTACAGACATCATGTCATACTATAAGGGATGGATGGGAACCTAAAATAATGGTCAACTTTGGGCGCTAGCATCTACCGTTACTTCTTGCAGGGTATTTCTGACAGCAACTGCTTAAACAGTGATGCCATGAATACGATTGTTTTTACAACTACTATCGCATATGATAGATTTCAACTAATGCAATAACGTCATAGAAGAAAGAATGGAAAGAGTGAACATGGTAAAATTGTCAAACTTTCTTTCGCTCATGACGTCAAGATCTAATTTATTTACCTTGTCAAACGAGCTTCAAAAAAAGTACCAAGAAAAAGTTGTCCTAATCCCAATTTCTACCATTTTTTGTTTATTTGTTATGAGAACAAATAAATATAGCAATACCTATCATCATGATTGTTAGTTTAGAAAATTTATTTTTCGATTTTATCTAAAAGGTAGAGAAAAAATATATTTTACTAAATATCTGAAAACAGAATACAATACGTAAGGATTCAAATATATAAAAAATTAAATAACTTAATTAAAAATATAAAAAATAACTATTTATTCAAAAATAAAAAATTTTTTTTTCAAAAATTTACCAGGATAAATAAAAACTGAAATTAAAATTTATTTTATTTTTCAATTAATAAAACAATCTACAAGTATGACTAAAATTTAATATATTCTAAAGTTAACGGTCAATCGCATTCACACTTAACACAATTCTCAAACCGAAGAGGCATTAAATTCTGTCCAGCGTTTACTTGCTTAACGATAAAAAGATGTGCGGCAAATTACTACTAATTGCAAATAAAACATTTGGCATGTCTAATGGTCAATATGTATGGTATGTATGTGTGAAGTACACATAAAGCAAATAATTATTAGAGATTAAAAAATAATAAAAATCATTGTCACTTGTGAAGTGTTTCTTCATATTTACCTGCTACTTGACTGCTGGGCTTGAGCGACGTTAGACCTAAGCAGAGGATGACTAAGGGCGCGTTCAGTTAGCGACTGCCAACGGCCGCTTGGCTTGTTTATTTGCCTGTTTGTTTATGTTTACTGCATTTTTGCATCAAGGCATTGAATAATTAAACGGTTAAGAATTAATATTCAAATAATTTGTTTTTACACAAACACAAAAGCTTGTCGCGTGTAATTGCTGTTCTTGAAATGTAATTGGTTCTATTGGAAATGCGATTTGTTCAAAATTAATAAATAATTGTAAATTGTTTGAAATTACTTGGGAATGGACGGGCAGCAGGTAAGCCAAGCATGCAAAGTCAATTTTAATTACACATATCACATATATGGACGTTTTGTCTTACAAATAAGCTTTGTGGAATTTTAATCGGAAACAAAAAGAAACAGTTAAGTAAATATAATTTTTTGCTCAATATACAGATTGTGTACTTTGTTTTTTTCAATGATCAAAAATATTGTTAAGCCATGCAATATTGCAATAAAATTATTTCAAGTTAAATAAATATTATAATTGATAACTGATTGATAGTAAAAATGTTGTTAAACAAATTGATATTGAAATAATTATTTGTAATTTTAAAAAATTGTAATTTAGTAATTTTATTTAATAACTTTTATCTAAAACCAATTAAAACTATAAAAGATAACCATTGCCATTGCAAATTATTTACTATTTTCAAGTCTATTTCAACTAAGAGTAAATTCATTTTAAAACACAATGTCATTGATTATTTTATCAGAACAAAAAGCGAAATAGCTTTGCCATCTTCAACTTATTTCAGCATTTTTAAGGAAATCTCAAATAAGAATGTATTGTACAGTTAAAACAATCTACTTAATTATAAAACTGAACTGACTGACTAAAATAGCATATCCATTCCAAATTTATTTCACCCATCATATTTGGAAACATATCGAATATGCGATCCTTCATTTTTGAAAAAATACCGAAAAATATGCAAAGCAATAAAATATATTCAAACAAGTAATTGACTCCATCAATATTATTATATTACTAAAATAATCAGAAGCATATACATAAATAAGGAAATTCCGCATAAGAACTTAAATACTAAATCTACAGAAATTTCAGCCAGTAGAACCTAAAAAAAAATATATTTGTTTGGATGAAGTCCTTTATATTAATTAAATTATATTGCAGAAAGATTTTAAGTTTTCTTATTCAATTGATCTTCTAAATTACCACTCAAACGAATTTGAATTTTTTGAAAATCATTATCGATAGAAAAAATCAATTTACTTTTGGTTATTTGAGTTAATGTGTTTGAAAAAAGTGCTCCCCATGCACCTAGCAACTTTGTCGCACAAACATTTAATAGCTTTAACTAATTAGAGACCGTTGCTCACTCTACATGCGTTTTCGATTCGCCACTACTTTGTTCGCAATGGTTGAACTCCTCTCAATCTTGAAAAAAATTGCATATAGAAGCAACAACAATGTTCTAATGTTGAATTCTATACAAGATAGAATGAGAATACTGAATATGATAAAACCTTCCCATTTGAATATGTCTGCCTACTATTTATACCAGTTGTTTGTTTGATTCGTTACTCTATAAGGCTTAGCGAAACGTAGGCATTTCATCCATGTCTTAACATCGTAAGAGACTCTATACTTTAAGAACATTATAGGTATATATAGTATATTTCTTCCACTATTCTGATGATTTTTGAAAAAGACAATTAAAGTCGAATAAGTAAGTGAAAATTATAAGCTTGATCATCATTATATTGATATCTTGACAAAGAAAGTTTGAAGCGTTCGAGGACAACTCAGATTTTTCAAACAAAATTATTTATACCTAACTCGTGACCACTTTAATAAATAGTATGGCATATCGGAGCCCAAAACACAATGCAAGTAAAGGATTTATCCAGATGAAAAAAATCTAACAAAAAACCAAAAGGGTTTATACGCTAAAAATTCCAATCGATAATTTTATGTGAATATGTGATAATTTTATAAATATTCTCAGAATAAACGCACTCAATTTTGAAATTAATGAATTAGGGAGATACATTTTTGTTTACTAGGCATATTGTTCCACCTATGAGCTAGGCACTATGGGAAAATGTATACATACGCACATATATTTATATATATATCATATATATATACTTATATTGATTCCAAAAATATTTTGCTCGATGAAATGTACATTAATTTATCCTTAATTTAAATATTTTAGTAGCTTTGAGCAGAGATCTAGCAGAGATATCGAAATCCTAGAAAATTTGCCTTTGACGAAACATATCCCCATTCAATCATATTTTAAAAAATTATATCGAAGGAGTGTACGAAATTGGCTTAATCTTAATTTGAATAACTTTGGGTAGACAAAAAAGGTTCTGCGGCATATCTCACACATCAGTTGAGTATATGTTTTTGTAACTTTTGAAGTGGAGCGCCATCGTCGAATTTGCTCTATAAGAAATATTTCTTATTTTGTCAATACAAAAGAGGAATAAAGACCACAAAAGTTCAAAACTAGAAATAAATTCATTGCGCGGTCGATTTAAGCCAGATTTGGCATTTTTTTTTTAATCGTCCAGTTTCCAAAAAAACTCGCTCCAAGAAATGAGCGATTGAAGCGTTTGAGCCGACAAAATCAATTTGCTAGAAGAATTAACAGCCATTAATCATTGGTATAATTGTATTAACCCAGAGGAAATATATTTAAAGAACCCAATCCAGTTTTTTATTAAAAAATTTTGTTATTTTCAAAAAATTCTGTCAAATTGAAAGAGACAACAATTTTCATATAAATAAAATTGTAACGATTTAAAAATATATTTCACAAATTACAATGTGTATCACATAAATAACTTTTAAAAATTTATTTTTCATCTCAGTACGCCTTTATGAACACACACACATACATATGTGTATATGTATTTAAAGCACTATAAAAATTAACTACACATGATTTATAGCGCATCTCATTGCATAAACATTTTTATAACAGTTTACAAATTAGAGACATGCATTACTACTCACCGCCAACGCTGTAAGCATCCAACAATTCAGCCACATTTCGCGAATTTTCGATTTCAAACACTTCTTTCTTGCAATATAATGCAATGCAACACTTTTATGATAACTTCCGTGTGTTTTGTTAAAACGTAAATACAATTTTTTTTGAAATTTTTGCAATCAAATTCTATTTTTTGTTTTCACTTCAAATACTTTTTCGCGTCTGCTTGCCGCTGGCGCTTTGTTTTGGGAATTTTTCAATTAAAAACTCTTTTCAAGTGCAACGGAAATAACGGCAAAGCCAAGCCGATTGCGCCGATAAAATGATAGGTGAACAAGAAAAGTGAAAACAACAACAACGTTGCAACGTAAACTGCTTTAAGCACGCAACTTGCAACACCAGTCGCGAGGCGTTTAATTACCCGCTCGCTCGACGCGCGCTAAACAAAGCCAAATGCCAAAATCTATAAAGCGAATTCACGTAATTTTCGCAAATTTATCGTTTTTATACCAGCAACCAGATTGGCGTACAATGCGTTTAACGCGTTTCCGTTTATGCTTTTGACTTATGCGCGCGCGCGCTCGTACACACCGACACAGTTTAAATTTATGTAAGCGCAGTAGCTGCAATGCAACTTGTTGTTATTTTTATGTTTTTCTTTACAATCAATCACTTTTGTTTATTGTTGCGCTCGCAGTGACACTTTGGAAACTGAAGCAAAAGTTCAAAACTTGAGCAACGCGAGTTACGCCGGCGCGCTCACTAACTAACTGGCTCAAACGCTTCGCATGCGCTTACGAATGCGCTACTCTCTTCGCACGCGTTTTCACTCACTGCACTGAGCGCTCACTCAACAGGTGTAACTTTTGTGTTTGTATTTTGGTTGCCACAAGGCACGTTCGTACGTTATATTTTCGCGTAGTTCGCTTTACTATATTACAACGCCAGAGCGCGTCGTTTATTGCATTCACACGTCCGTCAACGAAGCTGGCCAAAATGCCACTAAAAGTCGAGCTAGACAATATTGAGTTTAAAACTGAAAGCTAGCAAGCGTTGGATCGATCGCGCAGCAGCAACGCGGCGGCGGCGCGACTAAAGCAGCAAAGCGCCACACAAGCCGAGCGCCGCCAGCGTTGCTGTAACGTCATTCGATACTCCACATAATCGCATCGCGTCGAGATTGTGGGTGTTTGCGGTGTCTAATTCCAAGCGCGCAGCAGCGGCGCCTCGTGTGCTGTAGTAGTGCAAAATAATTGAAGCCCTTAGGCAGTATGAGCTCCCATTGATAGGTATCTCTTGAGCTGTCAAAGTGAGTTGTCGCGATGAAATCAATTTTTATATTTTGCCAAGGTTACTACAAGTACTTCTCTTAGAAATGCCGATGGTTCCATAACATATGGCCTAAATTGTTAGAAACTTTCGCCAAAGCTCAGTAAATTTCATAATAGGTATGATAGTCATATGAAAGGTATGTGAACAATTTAACCTATTTTTAATTGGTCTCTGTCAATTTAATATAAAAAATATATGTAGATAGTGCTTGATATTCCTAGTACGCTTCATGGTATAAATTTCGTTTAAAAACCGCTACATATCTGTAGTATAGAATGTCCACGATGTGTAACTAAATGTCTTCGTATAAATATGCCGCTACTCACATGTGTGCTTTGAGAAATCGCGTAAAGCAATTGATGACAGTTACGTTAGTTAATTACATGGTTAGGTTAGTTAAATACAGGGTTGTAAGTATTTAAGTGGGTTTAAAGGTATGTGCCAAGTCTCATCTGAGTACAACTAATACTCGTTTTGTCTCTCTTTAGAACTGTGAGCATCCCTAATAACACAGCAAGAACTTCTTGAAAAAAAGCCTGAACACGGTCTATAAGTCTGGGAGCAGAGGGAACACAAGAAATCCTGTGAGTAGTTTAATGACTTTTCGAGCTCTCTATTAAGGTTATATAAATTCAGTGAAGTCAGTTTACGAACACAGCTATCTTAGTTTCCGAATGCCCCTCCTGGTCTTTTCTGAACTTCAAGAGAATCATCAAACAAATTTAATACAAAAGATCAATCGTATTACAAGTATGACTCTCGATGCTAAGTATTGTTAAGATTATGTACATTTTAACATAAAGTGTGTTTCTCTTTAAAAATATTATAAAAGCTTATTTCTTGTTTCAAAAACAATAGAACCTGTTGGCTGATAGTCCAGTCCTCTCAGAATACTTAAGTTCCCACACTAGCAGTGTCTCTGTGGATAAACTATATTCGGAATTGCAAACCAAAATAAGCTTAGAGAGGTCTGAAGAGAGCAATTGTTTCCAACTAGGGTTAACTTAATATTTCATTGGCAAAGAGCTTTTCAGAGCAAAGTAATAGAAGAAACGAAAATGTTTAAAAATGGCAATGTATTTTTCAACAAAGCCTCCTTTTGTTCGATACACTTGGTCCAGCGATTCTCCAAATTATTTAACCCATTTGAAAAATACATTTTTTGCAGATCGTCAAAGTAGGCCGTGGCGGCGATAATCTTCGACTCAAATTCCTGTCTCGCGAGGGCCTATTTTACGTTTGGAAGCGAAATTAAGCAATACCAAGCTAAATTTGGAGAATACGGTGGATGTGGCAGCAGTTCGTGATCTAATTCGACCAATTTGTCATGGAATGCTGAAGATGTGATCCGATGCGTTGTTATGATCCAAAACACTTTTTTTTCTCCAAATAGGGGCGTTTTTCCTGCAATGTGGCGTCGAATCAGTCTATAAATTAGCTTAGCTTAGCAGAACTCTGTGACCATTTTTGGCTTTCCCAGATATTCGATGTAGATCGCAGAAAACTATAACCATCACCTTTCCAGCCGATAAAACACAATTCGCTCTCTTCGGCGCAGGTTCAGTAGGATAGTCCACTTTATTGAATTTTTCTTGACCTCTGGCTACATGTCTCGTCGACGCTGCAGAAACTCATTCGGATGGTCCACACAGTCTTCTGAGATGCTTACTATCTCAGCTATTCCGTGTGCATTCTTTTTTCACGTTAACCTCCGACCATTTTGAATCACCTAAGCGTGGTTTATCAAAAACGAATTGGCGAGCACGTCGAAATTGATTAAACCAATTTTGAACAATCGCCGTAGAATTATAGAACAGTTTTTTTTTTTAATTCCACGGACAAGACTTTCACACGCGGTTAAAATTAACCTAAGAGAGAAGAGTCATACTTAGTCCTGAAGTATTTAGCTGGCACCAAGGTGAAGTTAGCAGCCTCGGAATGAGCAGCAGATAGCCAAGCCTTCTTTAAAGCCTTAATAAAGAAGAAAGAGATATTTACAGATAATTGCTTTGAAGGTCTTTCATATAATTTTCATTGGTATCACTCGCACTACCTAATATTCGAGCATTCACAACGAATTGAACTAGATTTCATTTTGTTTTTCGGATATCTTAGACAAAAAATATGTAGGTCGCTCTTGTTCCAACAATAGCTCGCTTTCATCATATAAATTGGAATAAGCGATTAAACTATTATCGACTTGCATTACAAAGCTTTAGGCATAGCATTCACTGAGCAATCATTGGCACTTGCAACGTCCACCGTCACCGCTGCGTAGGCGTCTCTGCATATCCACCGCTAATTTGAATTAATTTTTTCTATTTTTCTTTGCGCAGGCGCACAGTGATATATTTATATATATGAACTTTGATTACAGCAGCTGCCGCCGTTGCTAGATGACTGCTGATCACTCAGCCTTGAAATTGTGCGCCGACTTGCTTTGGCGCCAAAACTTCGCATTTATTCAAAAGAAGTAAAACTCATTAAAATTAAGACAATTTTTTCCGACAGTTCCATTCAGTTCGTGCATTTTTCTACTGTTTGGGCGAATTCGATGGAGAACAGAAATATATACACACATACATACTTAAATAGATATTTCTGTTGGACACGCATTGCTACGCGGTACACTGTGTGTCATGTTGAACAATGGAGCTTGCCGTTGACTTTGTAGCTTGCAGTTTTCAATTGTAGGATTTTATTTTTGTTTACAGTTTTCTCAAGCTAAAAGTCGAACCTTTGGCCGCGTGTGGGCGTCTTTTGTGCGCAAATACCTTAACACTGGCGCCAAAGTCAAAAATATAATTACAACTGGAGATTGCTGTCGGCGATAATGGAGGCTTGCGGAACTAGCGAGCTCTTTAAATGTGTGTGCGCGCTGGTTGAACAATGCCCTGCGGCTTCTTATGTCTAGCGCTGAATTAGGGCGAAAATTAGCCGAAAAAACACTTGTTGAGCAATTGAAAAGTTGAAATTGAAAGTGCAATGGATTCAGAGCAAGAAATCAAGAAATGGGCGATGTCAAGGTTACAATCCCAATGGCTAAGCTATACAGATATATATTGCTATATCTGTGTTACAAAAATTACCACCTCAAAAATATTATTGCGAAATTCGCCAAAAAAATGTGTAATTGCCTACGTAATTAGTGTTTCGAGTTTTCAAGTGTTTACGTATATTTTCAACGAGTCTCCGTCTAATTATTTACTTAGTTGATTCATTACATACCTAACATGAATACATTAGCATTTGCTACAGAACGGTGATATACTCAGATTTTCCTTAAATTATTTCATTACACTTCCTATTACTTGTGAGACATATTACGAAGTATCATAAACACGTGTTTAATTTTGTTTGGGTTTATGAGTAATAAGATATTTAAGAAACTCTGAGCTTAACAATTGGTGTTAAAGAATAATTTTAAAATATTCGCACTTGAAGTGTTTAAAAAAATATCAATATCTGAGTTTAATGTATAATGTTTATATATGACTGCAAAATATTCTTAAAGAGGTGTTTTAAAAATTCTGCAGCTGTCGAATGATAACGTATCGGTGTTTAAGTAACTAGAGACTCTGATTTTAAGGTTTGATGATTGCGATCAGCAATCATGCGTTCTTATTCAGATGTTTAAGAATTTCTAAATATAAGAATGTTTATGAATTACTCTTCAATATTCTATCACTTTGTTTGATAAGCTAAGCATTTAGGGTTCGTCAAAATTCTCATTTGAGTGTGTAAGAAATGCAGAATGTCAGAACTGTGAAAACTTCTCAATTGAGTGTTTAAGGAATTTAAGCTAGAAATTCAATCAAAAAATTGCGAAAAGTTTACCAGTTGCCAGTTTCGAAGTAGTTAAACATCATTTATTTAGGTAAAGCTTCTTAATGACCTGTTGTGAAATCAATAGACTTCAAATTTCTTACGCATGAAAAACTGAAAAGTGGACACGTATTGAAATTTTTTTTTGTTTGTAATATTATATGGTAAAGCAGCTGTGCCAACTATGGAGTTCTAAAAAATTACAATTGAATACATATATATATTTTAAGTTTGTTGCCACCAGTATAAAGATACACCGGCTTTGATTCTGCCAAGTTGCAAAAGTATAAAATATTCGGCTACACCCTAACTTACACCTTCCTCACTTGTCTAAGTTGGCTGCCACCTGTACAAAAATTTTAATTCAATAAAATTGACAAAAAAAATTATTACAATGTGGTTATCTAACCAAAGAGGAGCGCTTAGAGTTGAAAAACAATTTTGAGGAGGTTGCCACATTTTTGAAATATTTTTTTAATTTAAATGGACAAATTGAATAAAATTGTACAATGTGGGCATGATTTGTATATAACAGTTATAAGAAAATTTATATGACATGTATAATTCAGAAGAAATGCCACCTGTAATTATTATTCAATATGTAAATTTGAATAAAAATGATAAAATAATATGTAAAAATTAATTAATATGATAAAAAAGAATTACATTTACATATGTATATTACATTAGTTATATAAAATGTAAGGTAGTTCAGAAAAATCTGCTGTAGTTGAAAATACATATGTTTAATAAAATGTATGTGTAATCTCTGCTTCAAATTTTAGCTATCACGAAACAATCATATCAATCCTAGAGTGTTATAATGGAAATAATTATTAGACAACTTTAGTATTCAA